AATAAATACGTCTTTGCCTCTTAAATGGTTGAGGTTCAGTCGTACACGTGGCTTCACTCTCACCCTTGGATGGTTGACAGATCAGATACTTGCTTGGTTTTGGCCCTAATTCTAGATCATTTGATCCCTTTCAACCTTTCGTCTCTCTGCTCTTCTCTCTGAGTGGTAGATTAGGGTTCTTGGTCTCTGTAATTCATATGATCTTGGTGATTTCTCAATCTGTAATCTTAGTGATGGTTCCTGATTGGGTTGTATAGTATGTTAGCGATTGAAAGTGAGTAGATTACATTTTAGAATAGAGGCGAAAGAATATTCGAAGAAACCTTTGGTTTCTTCGTACATGGTGTACTGTTCTTGGTTGATACTTGGTGGATCTTGAGCTTTATCACCTTTTGGTGATGCTCAACGGGTGACTAGGTCATAAGACCAAACATCCGAGCCCTTTTAGGGCAAAACATATCTTCGTGTTCGATTTTTTTATTTTTCTGCAAATCTAATTTTTACTGCAAAGCGATTTATTTTTGAGACTAAACGATCCTTCGACTTAACACTTTTGTGAGGATTTATATAATGATGTATTTATACATTATTTTCAACTTCTTAATGCCTCCTCCTAATGTTTATAGAATTGTCCAATCAAATTGACGATCAACAAACTGCATTAAAAAATATCACATTTTTTAGATAGGATTCAAACTACTCATTTCGTCTAAACATTCTTTACTTTTTATCTTAGTGCAATGTGGTGAATTAATTGTACATATATTGCACTATCAAATAATTAGATTAAGAAATCGGGCTCTAACTATAAACCAATTATAATATGGAGAACTTGATGTTGACATGTTGTGTAATAACATTCCCTAAATAGAAACAAGACAAACTTTGATTTCAATTAAATTACTTAGAGGCATTTAACAAGCAATAGTGTTAAACCATTTGTTGATATCTCAACTAACATTTATTAAAATATTGATATTTAGGTCCATGACATTAACAAGACACGGTGGTGATTATATAATATGAAAAATGTGCTCATAATTTAAAATTTGAGCATTAATTTTCCAAACTTAAGGTTACAAACACAATGAAATCATCTAGTATATGTATCAAATATATTAGTTACAAATAATATTTAGATGGTCAATATAGAAGATGATGGGACCATATCACCCTGATTAGTTTTTGGAAATATAGGGGAATCAATTCCTATTTAACTAGTGATGATCAATTACCAATTTTTAATAAAGAAAACAAGAACCAAATATGAATTCTGTGGATTGAAGAATTTTTTGTTTCTTCATTAAACGTTCATTTGAATTCTCATTTCGCATCGTTATTTATCCAGTAATGATTTAACTGAACATACCAAATAATAAAATATAAAATTTATTGAACTTCTGGTTCAATATAATTTAATTATTTATTTTCGAAATATATGATTAAACACTAAATAGCCATAAATTATTCGAGTAGTCAAACTAATCAATGTACTCATAACATTAGTTATATGTTTTCTTTTAGGAATAAACGTGAATTCAATATTATTCATTCTTTGAAATATGTGCTACTTCAAAAACACGTTTAATTTTATTATTGCTCCTTCAAAAGAAATATCAATATTTTTCTAAAATATTGAAATTGTAGTGTCATGGCCTTCAGGAGCAATATATTATTATTATTATTATTATTATTATTATTATTATTATTATTATTATTATTATTATTATTATTTGAAATAATAAATTGTATAAAAAATTTATTCTTCAGAAGTAAAAACATAATTTTAGTTATGCCCTTTGAGAACAAGTAAAATATAACTAAAAAATCAATATATAAATATGTGTACAGAAGAATGATACGTAAAGAAATAGAGTAATTTAGTTTGTGTTTTTATCTAGAAATCAATCAATATTCTTCTGGAAATTGTGATAGATTTGGTAATGACATGCTCTTTAGGAGCAAATAATATTTTTTTGAAATATTAATTATAATGTTGTACTATTTCAAGAGTAACAACATGATGAATTGTCAATTTAAAGTTCATAAATGAGCATCTAAAAATATTTAATCATGTTAAAAATATTAATTACTATACAAACAGGATATGTTATACAAATTAATTACCAAACAGATAGGATGTGAATTTATATACGAAAATTACTTATCAAACAAGTATTCGGAAAAAAGAATCTTCATATATACAAGTAAACAAAATTGACTAAATCTTTTATTGACTAACTCTCTTATCAACATGTAAAAGATATTGAATATGCAAGTGAATTCTACATATATAGATATTAAATATAGATTTAAAGACATATCTAAAATGCAGTAGAATCAAACTGCAGAACTAATGATAAATTATGACTTTACTTAACAAACCATGAACTAACATGGGTAGAAAAGATATGATGATAATTAGTCAAGTTTTGTCTTTGTTGTTACTTAATGAGTTTTGGAGTTGGTGATATCAATACTATTTTTATTGGTAAATGTAAAATTCTATAGATAAAAACTTTAATAGAAGTACAGTGGACAAGGTAAATAGAGGTTCACATAGACATTGATAAAGTTTGAAATAAAAACTTTATCAATGTTTTATATCATAAAATGAAAATAATTAAAAAGAATTTTAAATCAAACAAAAAATTATTTATAATATGAAGGAAAAAGAAATTTTAAAGTAATTTTCAAAAAAAAAATTAAACAAAATAAAGTTACGAAAATTAAATAAAGAATATATAAATAATATTCAATTAAAATTGAGAAAAGTAAGTTCCCTTATAAAGAGAAGAATTAAAAAAATTAAATAGGAAAAAATTATATATAAGATATATTCAATTATTTTATCATATTAATGGAATAAAACGGCATCATTTTGTCATTCAATGTAGGGAAACGATATCGTTTTATACTGTAAATTCAATGAAAAAATGACTAATTAATTTTTTATTAGAAAATTCTTAAAATGGAGAGGAGAGAAAGAAGAAAAAAAAAATCTTGGTTTGTGTGGAGAAGTGGAGTAAGGAGCGTGGATAGTTGTCTGAAAAAATAAAAAAAGACGGAGAGAAGAAAGAGAAATGAAATGATGGTTGCATGTAAAAGTCAATAAAGAGAAGAAAGAGAAACGAAAATGATGGTTGCGTGTGAAAGTCAATAAAGTAGTACAACGTTTAAAAAAAGGCAAACAATAACTAAGCACGACTTCATAAAAACAGTGCCATAGCAAATGCCTCTTTTATTTTAGTTAGGAAGTAGGACTACAGGTGATATAACAGTTATAATGACCAGAGCTACGGATATAAAAGTCATTTATAAATACTACTATATTTAGAATATCAAGCAAATTACTATGAGTTTATATCGTCAAATTAATATTTATGGAAAATATCAAAAAACTAATGGAAAACATCATGTAACAAATTTAAATATTAATAGGAAATATAAAAAAATGCAGCTGAGAGGATGAAATAATTGTAATTAGTTATGTACACCTTTTTCTTTTCGGTTATCTATCAGTATGAGAACTAAATTTATGAGCACAGTGGATAAGATTGAGCAAGACGATATATCATTTGTAAAGTATGGTTGGTATACATTGCACTAGACATTATTAAATGAAAAGAGTATGTGACAATTTGTTAACTGATGTGATAATTGATCGAGTCTAGTTAGCATGCTAAACAAACTATTGATGTTTACTAGATGTCAAAATTTTCTCCTAATAGCTAAAGAAAGATGAATATGCCGTTTATCAAAAAAGGAAGGAAAAAACAAAGGTACAACGTGAAAAAAGTTTCAAAATTCTAACTACGTAAATGGCCAAATATGGATACATTCCACACGGAATAATTACGCCCTTGTTTGACTAAAAATTAATAAAAAAAAATGAAAAGCAATAATTTGATTTTTTTTTTTTTTAAATGTGTGGTAAAAAAATAGTGTATCAGAGGAGTTGTTCTCTAACCTTCCGCTGAAATTAAAGCTAATGAATGGTAATCAATAGGGGTGAACACAATATGATTTGAACGATTTGTGACAAATTTTCAAACCAAATCGTTTAATGCGGTTTGAAATTTTTTTTAAATCAACCAAATCACTTTAATTTCTATTCAAATTATTTTTTTTGGGTTTGCGGTTTGCCAAAATTAAAAATTAAAAAATAACATATGTAAAAAAAAATTAAATTATAAATCTAAAATTTCAAGTTAAAATATAAATAATAACATTAAAAATATTTACAAACCAAAGTTTTATAATTCTAATAATTATAATGTAACAACATGAAACATTTTAATTTCTTAGTCGATACTAATTAGTGTAACATCTATAACTATAATACAAGATTCATTCCCTCCATTAAGATAATGATATTGTTGTATATAAATTCATCGATTATAATTAAATGATATAAAACAACTAATATAAAAAAATGAATAAAAATATTATTAGTAGAAAGAAGAGAAATGTGTGAGTTTGAATTAAAACTATCTTTAATTATCTATTCAATTATAATGGGCAATTGATAAATATTTTCAATAAAAATTGTTCAATACTTCACTCAATTTCAGAGTTTTGTATTCACGGTTGTGATAACTAATGGGTATTTGGAAGATTTATTTAATTAATTGAGATAGATAATTGTCTATTTAGGTATTGAATTTAATTGGGTTATATCTAATATGGATGTTTCTTTTTAATTGGGAAGTGTTTAATTTTTATTGGGTTAAATAAAATTTACATTAATCTCTCTCTCTCTCTCTCTCTCTCTCTCTCTCTCTCTCGTTGGTAAATTGTTTGACGATTTGAAACATTTTTGCAAAGACTGAAACCTAAATCAAATCATTCGGTCAAAACCAAAACATCAATGTATTCACTTGGACCCAAGCCAGTGATTTCCGAAAAATGATTTCAATTCGATTTTATAATTTGACGATTTCATTGTCCAACCATAATGGTCAATCAAGACTAAAATTAACTTGCATCACACAACATGATATTATTAAAGACGATGTATATAAAGGAATACTCACAATTTTCTATGATTCCATAATTCAAAAAATTTCTTATAGAAAAATTCTTCATGCACGATTAGTTCAACGACGTTTCAATTCAGAAAGGATTTCCATTGTTTTCTCGAGATTCATATAACTGATCAACAAGGAGCAATGTAATTTAATTCATCTCCTCCATTTTCTGTTTTCTTGATCTACCCTTTGCCGGTAATATTCGAATTCTTTTTGCCACTCTAACAAAATCCCTGCAGATTGAAAGAAGCAGACAAATAATTATTAGATCTTGAAAATAATTTCAAGATTTTGCTTTCTTTATCACACACGCAAGGAAAAAAAAAAACAAAACAAAACAAAACAAATAAAAACAAGAAAAACAAAAAAAAGGAAAAAACAAAAAACAAAAAAGTACATCAAAATAAGTGATTGCCTTACTTCCAGTTTAGGTCACCAACAAGAAGAAGATCATTTTCCATGTCTTCATACGCAATGAGATGGCCAGGAATAGCATTTGAAAGATCAAGATCAACATCATTATCAGAAAACGACGATGCATCTCCATCAACAAACATTTGTCTCAAAGCCTTTGCCAGGCTTTTGTAGCTTCCATGTTTGTGAAGACTGATCCGCTGGCAGATTGAACGGCCTTCCAGCACCACCGTCACTGGCGGCACCACCGACGAAACAAGATCATCATCTAAAAAACTAGAAAAAGTTTGGAGATTTTTAGGGTTCCCTATGAAGGGCACTGTCGATGGAGCTTTGTTATACAAATTTGATGGGGTTTTTTCGTTGATTACTTGCTCCTGCCACCTCCTTCTCAGTGATTCTTGCGTTTTTGAATCGAAATTGCTCATCGTTTTAGATGTTCTTGATCAAACTTCTCTTTACAGACTCGATAGATTTTGAAAAACTTATGAAAATATAATCAGAAAGAGAAGTGATTAGAAGGAGGGATTTCGGTCCTGACCTGGGTGATTTCTGAATGTGTGTCTGTTCTGTATATAGTGAATTTATAGAAGAAGACAGAGCACAAATTTCGGGGATTGGTCTAACGTGGAGACCCATCATTTTCAAACTTCAAAGCTGCCATTAATTATCTGTACAAATTTAAATTTCAATTAAAATTATGACTCTCCTAATTACAGTTACTGTGTTTTTTAATATGTGCGTAAAAGATTTATGTTTGAGTCCCATTTTGTGTAATTAAGGAGTTTTGTAATAGTGATTGTTTGAAATAATTTGTCTTTAAAACCAAGATAAAAAAAAATTAAGTTTACATATAAGTTATTTTATTTAACAAATAAGTAATTAAAATGAGTTTGGGAAAAAATGAATTTTTAGAAAATAGGGTTCAAACTGGGGCAAGTGAACCAATATATTCAAGTTCTAGCTACCAATTTTCAATCCGAAAATCACAGGTGAAGCCGAGAAGAAGTAATGACCTTATGTGGAGAGTAGTATCTGCCTAACTTTGTGGTACAAATACTGCAACTAGACTAGATTTATTTATGTTAATATCGCAAATACAGATAGACTGTAAATTTAGAGTGAAAAATGGTACGAGAGAAATTAAAAAAGAGAATGCCTCATTTGTTTTGCTTAATTTTTTCACCATTTAATTCCATATAATTGAGATTACAGTGTGCATAGTACGTGGGAGAGCATTGGATTCTTAAATAATTTTTATGGGGATAGTGATATAATGCGTGAAGAAAAAGAAAGCTGAAAAAATAATAGTCGATGATTTAATGTACCGAGAAATTAGATGGAAGACAAGTATATATAAAAGGGTTAAGAAAAGTCTTGTAAATTGGAATTGCATGGGCTATGGTGACGATCGCGCAGCAGTAGGCGAAGGGCTCGCTAACTTGTTTGATTCCAACACGGTCGGGCCTGGCACTCCATGAATATTTTTGCTTTTGTTATTTCTCCCGCTTTCATGTCTCCGCTTATTAAATATTAGACAAGATTAAATAATGTTTAAAATTGTTGTATTTATGCGTAATTTTGGATGTAATCCACTTTTTAATTTTGAAATATTAAAGTAGATTCGTGTTGTCTTTCGTGAAAGCATCTAAATTGTATATTCACATGTTGTGAAAGCATCTAAATTGTATATTCACATGTTCAAATTAGTATTTGGCTAAATGAGAAATTAAAACTCAAAGTGCACCATTGAAGTTAGAAAATGTTGAAGGGAAAGCTAAAGAATCTTGCTCCAAGGAAAATCCTGCAATCCATCGTCCCTTTCATTCCATCCAGCCTCCTGTTCCGCTAGGTCCTGAGTTACCTTTGAGTGTGTTTTACTTATGAGTTTTATTCTATTTTTAACTTAATTATGAACTAGATCTTATGAGTAGTAAACGTTTTTAATGTGTTTATTAGTATTGTTTTGTAAAAGTAACGAGATGGTGCAAGACAAGGAAAGAAACAATAAAACAAAGTTATTGGCATGGATTGAGGAGAAAAGAGGTACGAAAGGGGCAAAAGAGTCAAACCACGACTCCAAGGAATAGTGGCACTCCGACTACACAAAGCAGGTAGCCAGATAGAATTGTGGTGCCACAGCATAGTGATTGAGTGCTATGGCGCCGCTGAAGACACAAGGGTTACATTTTTCGATCCATTTTAACACCAGCATGGGAAGGAGTATAAATATAAGTTACTGGCAATTTATGAGGATTCCACACATTCAAAGATAGAGAACGTAAATACAAATTGAAGAACACAATTCAAGGGAGTAAAAACAGCAAGAAATTCAAGTTTTGAAGTATTGATTGGCAAAGCAAGAAGATCTTGGTTCAAGATAAATCTCTTTTTCTACATCTTTATTCAAAATCCGATGATGTATTCAATAACAACATTTGTTTTCCTTTTTCATTATGAGTAGCCAAATTTCATATTAGGATAAACAATGCAATCTACTTGAGATGCTTTAATTCTTTTATTTAAGATTCTTATTTTTTTATCTTACATGTGTTGATTTTGCTAAGAGTTTAATGCGTTAAATTACTTGATTATTAATTTGATGATTTTGTAAATCTTTTACGAATCGAGAGGTGTTTTGAGATTTAGATCATATAGTAAAATTCAGTGAATTAGTATAATATAGGAGTTTCAATTTGGCTCTTCGGCTCGGATTACCCATGGCTTAGCCCGTGTGGCTTTAAAAAAATGCAAAAAAATTAAAGTTGCAGTCAGCAATAGAGATGGCAATGGTTCGGTTCGGGGTTAGTTCGTCTAAAACCATTATCGAGCCACCAATTTTTTGGTCATACCATAACCGCACCATAATCATGAAAGTCAGTTCGGTTCGGTTCGATTCGTATCTCGGTTCGGGTCGTTAATAATCACAAAAATAAATTATTTTTAATTGGTCCATCCGTCGAATTAAAATGAAAAATATATGAAAAAAAATCAATGAAAACAAAAACATGATACTAAGTTAATGTAGCAAACAACATCCCAAATGAAAATGCAAAAAATATCCCAATTCTCAAATACAAAATCCAAATTTAACAAACAATATTCAATAACTCAAAAAGCTCCAACCTCAATTCATATTCAATCTTCATTTTTCCCCACAACTCTTACTAGTGTACGTCAAAACTCAAAGTTGATTCCTATATAGTATATAAGAAATATAAGTAGAGTAATAAATCAATAATCCATAAGGTTCTTAACTAAAGATTTAAACAAAAAAATGTACCTCTTCGTCAAAATCCTCGTCACCAAACTTTGCAGAAGCTCCGGAATATAATGAAAGAGCATAATTTTCTACACACAAAAGAGGAAAAAATTAGTAATAAAAGAAAGTGCATAAATAACAAATATAAAACAATAAATCCTACCATGAAAATCAGACCAAAGCCAATCTCAAGCACACATTAAAGCTTCTAAAGTCTTCGGGTGAAGCCTATTTCTATGTGGGCTCACAAATCTACCACTTGTACTAAATGTTGACTCGCATGCAACAGTAGATACTGGAATGGCTAATAAATCTCTTGCAACCTTCTGTAAAGTCAGATATTTTATTGAATTTACTTTCCACCATGTCAATAGATCAAAACCGTCCACCCTTGGCAATACTGGCTCATCTAGAAAAATATCGAACTCTATTTTTACATGATCAGTAGTAACAGAAAGGCTAACAAATTTTTCAAAACTAGCTGTGCGAGAATGTTTTCCACTAGTAGTAGACGACTCTGATTGTGAAGATGATGGAAACAAAGACGTATTTTC